ACACGTCTCCGAGGAGTCCTAAAGAGGCGTAGACGGAATCAGCGATACACTAGCGCTGATGGTTGCTCTGGTGACTTTCTCGTATCCTCTGCCGAGCAATCCCATTGGAATTATCTCAATAGAACGGTGCATACACAGGCAATACCATGCCAGGTGGCCATGAGACCGCATGGAGACGAGGGAGTCTGTCCCTCTCGTCGTTCCTTTCTCACACAATGAATATTCAGTACCCGACAGTGATTGGACACAGTGCTATCTGTCAGAGAGAACACTTGGTATTTCGATACACAGTATCTGACGAGTCACACAGACCCCTGTGTTCAAGGCTCGATATCAAAGATAGTGATGCCGTCATCGACAACCACGTATATGGTGGAGCTTAGACATTTCCTCCCACAATAGCCGGAAGTACACCAGAACTTCGGAGCCACGATCAGGATACGGCTGCCGTGATTCACCGCTCTGGGAGGACTTCATCCGAACTTAGTAGCGGATGCACTCACGGGTTTCGACTCTCACACCGACACTGACGACAGCCACCCAACCCGACTCCAGTGGAATCGTTCAATGAGAAGCACGTACGCGTCTATAATAGCTTGTAGTGGGATCTTGCGCAGTCATTTGTACTTGCGTGTTATATTTATTCATAGCTGATCGACGCGACTGGTCGTAGTTGGTGGCTGCTCCAGCTGTTAGCGCTCCTCATTGTCACTCCGACCTCACTCCTTCGTCAAACGGATTGAAGCGAACCACTGTGGTTCGCTTCAAACCACTTATACAAGAGTCCTTCTTGGTGGTGATACCTCATCTGAGCACTAGAATCACCACTTAGTTCATATCTGAGATATGATATCTCTCTCGAACCCTACAACAAGCTATCGATCAAGGAGTAACTCCTTGATCACAAACTGTTTGTGATCCTCGATTCAACGTGCCATTGTGGCTTAAATTAGTTCTAATCATCGCATTCGGACATGTAGCTCGATCGAGCAGTAGTGTAACATGATGTTACTAACATCATTATCGTTGCTCCCCACAACGTCTCCCCGATATCGGTCTCTGTTGTTTGGCAGTTTCACTGAGTTCCCAGACTCTACTCCCTTTCAATAATGATGACACTCCTACTGACCTGGTTGATGGCCTGCCATGTTCTGGTAGCTGTAGCTCAGCTTGATGGTAGATACGTTCACGAAGCGCAGGGCTACCAATTGACCTACGTAGTCGCCGATTCAGGAGTCGGGCTCGAGTTCCATGTCCCGGGCCAGGCACCCTTCAGGGACCCGCCGGTCTACCCCCTAAAGGGAAACAATGGATATACTGTCGATTTCAAGGTCACATTCAAGGAAGTCGATTACTGGTACCAGAATATCCTCTCTCGCTTCCCGGAAGCGAAGATTGAAGAGGGCGATCTGACCCAACTGATATTTGTCCCAGGAACTCAACCCATAATAGCTGCTCCATTCCAAGGCAAATTTATCGCCTTCGTCAGATCATCCGCTTAAGGTTCATTCGCACTATCTCAACTACACATTACTTACCAGATGGCACATGGTCCTGATGTGGCTACACATGTCATATGTCCTCTACTTTCGCGGAACTCACCGCCTTGTTCTGTATGATCAGCCTTGGTCCCAGCTCTAATACCGGAAACGGATCTCAGATGTTTACACTCCCCGATGCATTCTCGTTCGTGGTTACGCTCTTATTCTCCCTTCGACTCGGCTGGCGACTCTGACTTCTTTTTTCTATCTCATCTACTCGCTTACTGAGAGGACATATAACCTCTCAGCGAGCACGACTGATATATTGGTTCGATGGCTCAGTCTACGACCAGCCTACCCAGGTGGGTGAACAACGTTTTTCGTATCTCTTCAAACCCATTTGGTTGTGCATCTCGCTTCGGTGAAGTGTACTTAGAATGGCGACATCACCTCTCGGAGTCAGTAGTCATTACGACGTTACGTTGTACTACAGTATCTTATCAGTGATGGTTTCGATCCGTCCGCATTCTCTCTGTAAAATACTGAGAGCAGCTGACGGAGCTGTGATGTGAATGCCCTGTCCGCTGCTCATGCAACACAGACTTCACTCGTGGTACCTCTCCCTGATTATTTTCATATGATACAGTACTCCGTAACTTGGTGCGCATTCGCGTTCGGGAGTAGAATTGGATTGACGGCAATACATATCCTCGAGAGCAGACATCACGCCTCTCTGATTCACGGGAAATCGGAGATCATGTTCGACTCCCGGTTCACAAGACATTCTACTCGGCGTAATCGGGTGAGTGCTGAGTCAGCACTGCTGATGAGTAATACGATCCTTATGCTATAGGGAGTGACTACTAAGTCCACTGATATATTGGAGATGCAACAATTGAATCGAATCTCAACTCAAAATTCAAAATTGTTGCTCTAGCGCTCCGTCAACACCAGTTCCGTCTTGAGGCGCTGTTGCGTCGCCTTGATCCTGACTGCCACCATACTGATATACATCAAAGACTATGGTAGCCGCATGGCCATTATGAGGGCGCACCACCGAGGCCGGCCATTGGCCGCTATTTGATGGCGAATTCGACGGGAGCCGGCGTCACGAGGCGCTCGATCCTGAGTTTCTCTACAAGTCCGTGCAACTGAGACTGAGCTTAGGGAAAAGATCAGTCCCTCTTACCTGTTCCTTCGACACCAGCGGCAGATGAGCTTTGGATTTACGTAGCCGAATCGGACACGGTAGTAAGCCGCGGCAAAGGCATACGTCTGCTGTTCAGTTTAGCGAACTCGAGCACCAAGATCGGCTTTGAGAGCAGATCAATCAGACTCAATAGAGCCTGGACGAATTCAGAAGAATGCACACTCCTCAAAACGATGTCATTTGAGTGTTGAGAGCACCGAGGCTCCCGCGTTATGACGGCATTT